TTATATTATATATATGTATCAAATTTAAATCCGCACTATCTAATGATATGCGATGCGAAAAAGGAATTGCTTGTTAATTCGGTCGGCCTGTCACTTATTTAATTGTTTATTAAGCGCCCGTTGCATGTTATTTTTGATTTGAAATAAAATCAGCAAGTGAGATAATAAATTATGTACATTTTTAATGGGATATGTTTTGAAATAGTTTATATATTATTTACAGTAATAAATACAAACTTGTACGCACAAGCATAGACACACATATAGTAGATGTAATCGGTCTTGGATGCATAAAATAGATTAAAAAAGGAAAAGAGGTTTTTAGAGGTTTTTCACTTTTCCATGCGTTTAGAAACACGATTTTCAGCCTTTATCAGAAATCATGCCTAAACGTATAGTAGATTCCCTAATAATCATTTTGTTTTTTCTTGGATTTTAATACATAAATTTCAAAATTTGATATATATAAATAGTATGTCCCAGAAATCAACGTAAGAAACGGGATGGCAGAATTGATTATAACCACTATAAAAAAATTTTGAAAAAAATTATCCCTTGCAATTTAAAAATTAAGACCTTCTAAGTAAAACGTAAAACTTCGATCAAACTCTAACCATTTTTTTCGGTTAATGTGGTTAATTTTTATTACTTTTGTTCATTTAAGTCTTCCAACCGTAACACTAAGTAAAACTTCTAGGATTAGAGTTGAAAATAATAATGAATTTACTCTAAGTTTTCCAGAATTTACCACCGATATCTCAAATATAAGTAAGTTAAGATTTTGTATTGTTAATTTTGTTAACTTACACGTTTTTACACGGAGTAAAAAAGATCAACTGAACATTTACCCTGGCAAAGGTGTAAACAATAAAAAAAGTACATGCAAAAAATAAGTTAAAATGGCAATTTCACAAGATATAAACTAAAGAACCCTGTTGATAAATATTTCTGACAAAATACCAGATCATGGTTATATACAGTGTTATCTCTGTGAAAAATGTACCCATAAAATTTATATTTCGCCTTTTTTACTATAATTTCGTAAAATCCCTTCAGAATTAAAAGTAAGACATTGAATCTGTTTACCCCCTGGCTGTCCCCTTTTACCACGCCAATGGGGTAAGAAGAAACAGATAATAAATATTTGAAAAACTATGTGTTATCTATTGTGATATAATTGGTTCGGTTTTCACAATATAATTTCGCAAAGTCAAATTGAACCTTTGTGCCCCACCCTACCATATATATATTACACAGTAACATTTTTTGAACAAAATATTCTCTTTGTATCAATAGACTATTCTATGTGCAAAATCTGAAATATTATTTCATCAAAATATTATTCATTGAAATTGTTCATTGTATTATTCATTGGATCTGTTTACCCCCTGGCTGTCCCCTTTTACCTCGCCTACGGGGTAAGAAGAACCAGATAATAAATATTTGAAAAACAGCAAAAAAACACATTTCTACAATGATGATAAGAGTTTTACTGAACACAGTCAGACAGTTATTTGCTTGATATGTGTTATTGTGATATAATTGGTTCGGTTTTCACAATATAATTTCGCAAAGTCAAATTGAACCTTTGTGCCCCACCCTACCATATATATATATATATATATATATATATATATATATATATAACAAAATATTCTCTTTGTATCATTAGACTATTATATGTGTACAATCTGAAACATTGTTTCATCAAAATATTATTCATTGAAATAATAATCATTGAATTGAGTTAATAATTATTGCTTATATACCTGCTTTCGGACAGAACAATACATATATATGCTCTTACTTGTGCTTTATTATGTCCACACATGAATGGGTAAAATTAAATAATAAACGTTGAACGCACGTCGTTAATTGAAATAAAAACGATTAACATGAAATTTGTGCGTAACGATTGATAATTCAGGTTAATAGATTTCCTGAGCGTAATATAACAAAAAAACAGAAAAAAAGAGTCATCGTCCGTACACACAGTAATCACCTTCAGTCAAAATAATTTTCGAGATGACGTCCGAGAGGTAATGACCACAATATCAATTAACCGTGGACAAAACGCGGCGCCTAAGAGTTCCTTACCGCAACTATCCGCTCGTCATTATCGTTATTCACCGGCGTCGTTTTTGATTATCGCAATATTCAAATAAACGAAACATGTAATTATAAATAATTAGTAAAACATGTAATTAATATTATTAAACTGGCATCGCGCAGTTGGTTGCGTATGTAGTTTATGTTAATTAATATTTCTAAGAGACGCAGCAATCATTTAGTTTCAAGTTCTTCGGATACTTTTTTGACTCGTACAGTTTTTTACTTGCAATTCGCGTGTAATTCCGAAGCGCTCAGCGATTATCATTACCTACCAGAAGACAGTTTTTTGTAATAATAACTCTAGGAGTGGTTAAGGATAAGAATAAATTGATCGAGAGATTTGTATGGAAGTCCTCAAGAATTCTCGTTTGATCAATTATAAAATGCTATGTATAAACATGCATGTTTAATTTAATTTAGATGTTATCAGAAATAACTTTAATGAAGAATTTATCATACTAACTAGAATTTATCAAGCATAATGAGGGTCCGTATTTTGATAATTATGCAGTAAAATTATATTGTTTACAAGTTTGTTTTCAGCAAATATACTTAAGACTAGTGGGGTGTATGGCATCGTGCCTTAAGGCAAATTCAAATAAAAAATTTTTTGAAAAAAAAGAAAAAAAAAATTAAACAATTTTTTTTTTCAAAATCAATTATTTTGTTAAGACTAGCAGAAAGTTCTTTGAATAACTTAAATCGGACGCTTAGTTCCCTCAAAAACTGCCATTTTTTACACATTTAGCTTTCTATCTTCAAAAGAGCTGGGCCTGCCTTTGCGAAAAACTAATGAACACTTCTCCCAATCATTACTAATTCAATGTTTTTTAGATCATTCAAATCGGATGCTCCGTTCTCTCAAAAAGTCGATTTCTATTTTCTGCACTCTTTGCTCTTTATCTCCGTAACTGCTGAACCTGCCTCTGCCAAAAACTAATCAGCACATCTCTCTATCAATTGGATTCAAATGTTTTTTGAACCATTTAAATCGGTTGATCCGTGCGCCCGAAAACGTGGACGAATAATTGTATCCATACATACATACACACACACACATCCATTTTTTCTGAGGTATGCCAAAATGTTCAGAAACCTTCAAAACGTCGAAAAATTTAAAAATTTTCAATTTCGATTTTCGGCCCATTACAATAACTTACCCTACGGGAAGTTAAAAATTTACATTTAAGGATAATATAAAACGGGCTAAAACTATTCGACATATAAAATTATTATTATTTAGTCTACTCAGATAATATTATAGTTATTTTTATTAATTAATCTAATATTAAATAATTATTAATTTATGAACAATATTTTGAAATACAATATTTTTATTAACTTCCCAAAGGAGAAGTTTATGTTTTCATCAGAAAATCCGATTTGCTAATTTTCTTGTTTTCTCGACTGTTCTGAATCGAATGAGCCCAAATCTGGAAAAAGTATGTGTGTGTGTGTATGTAAACAGATTTTTGCCGTAAATCGACGTTTTCTCAAAAATTACTGAACCGATTTCAAAAATTTAAAAGCCATTCGATGTTGTCGATGTTAAATTTTTTTTGTCGATTTGTATGACATTTTTTGACGATAGACACCATGCCTTATAGATCATACTAAAATATTACGGCCCTACGACAAGTCGTTTAATTTTAAAAAATTTTCAAAGTTTCCAAAAATTAGTATCGTTTTTTTGTCATTTGTCAAAATTTGTCATATTGTCAAAACCTTTCATCGTCGTTTGCTCAAAAATAACTGAACCGATTTCAGAAATTTAAAAGCCTATTGATGTATCTCAATGAGGAATATCGTTTGTCAGTTTTGTGCGGCGATCTGCCAAGCCGTTTCTTTTTAATTTGAAAAAAAGTGTTAAACTTTTTGTTCACATTCAAGCTCATACTACCGAATCGATTTAAAAAAATCAAAAACTGTTCGAAAGATATTAGTTGGGAATGATACTGATTAGTTTTAGGTGAAAATCTACCGAGCCGTTTCAATTTAATTAACTGTTGAAAAAAGAAATTCAAGACGATTTTATGAAACTTTTTTTTGGCGATATATGTCATGAAGCGTTCGTTCTTTTCCAAACTTTTTAATCTTTGAAAAATTGGATTTTTGAATAATTTTAAATTTTTGAAAAAAAAAATAGACTTAAAAAAAGATTTTTTTATATTTTGAAATATTTAAAGAAATTTGAACTTTTTTTAAAGCAATCGCGCCGCTTTAGCTGCATAGAGACGAAATATCGAAGCGCGTACGCGCCGCGTCGCAGTCTAACAGACAAAGGATGTTACGAGAACCATAAAAATGTAAACAAAATTTCATACGAAATATTAAAATCTCCATAAAATATCTGTTAATTTGATATGCATAAGTTTATTGATCATCAGCAGATCTCCGAAACCGCTAGACCTGCCTTTCCAAAAAATTAATCACTCCTTTAGCTTGTCGATACAAGTAAAATGGTTTTAAAAAAAAACAGAAATAAAGTAACAGGGTTAAGTAGTAACAGGCGTTTTTTAATAGAATCGTGAATGATTTTTTTTTATATGTAAACTGATGAGTTTATTTTTTATTTATTTTTATTTATTTTTTTTTTTTTTGAACTCAGTTTTATTTAGCAATCAGAAATACATAAAGATTCCTATGAGCTAAAATGACAATATTTATGAGTGATGCCTAAGAAGAACTCCAATGAGAACTTCTCAGTTTTACAATTAGTATGATATATTAGACCTAATCTACGACTAAGTCTAATGAGTTTATTAGGCATTTATTTGCCAAAATGTCACTTTGACAGTTAGGTTTGTTTTTTTAAACTAAAAACGAAAATATTTTATTTATAATTTTCAAAACTATAATTTGAAATGAATATATTGCACATACTAATGATGCAATTATTGCTGAGAAACGCCAATCAATGCTTTGACATTCGCCAAAGTAAAAAATCTGAAGAAAATACATTCGAATATAATATAGAAATAGATGATGACAAGGGCGACAGTTCCATACAACAGATCAGCAGAAATATTGGTGATGGCGTTGTTTCTTTGCATCAGATCAGCCGAAACAACGACATAATCTCCTGTTTTTCCAATACTGCAAAAAAAAGAAAACCCGACTCTCTGGAGTCATTTTGTGGGCCGCTTGAGAAACAAAACAATCATGCCAATGAACGCATTTTGGAGGTTTTAATTGATGTGTCGCGTGAGCTATCGAAAGAGTACAACAGAAACGCATTGGCTCAATGGGCTTACGAGACCAACGTAAGTAGTACCACAAAACTATTGTCGATGAGGGCATTGCTTAGAGCGTCTAAGGCTGAAAAAAGGCTTATTGCAAAATTAAATAGAACTCTATGCGAATTTGATTTGAAGGACGCATGCCCTGATGTTCAACGTCAAGTTGCTTTTCTTCTGAAGGAGGGACCGTCAGCATTGTCCGAAGAAAAATTTGAAAAGCTTGATAACATTCTGAAGACCTTTGAAAATATATATGGAACTGCTACAGTGTGCAACTACAAAGATGACACCAGATGTGGACTAAAATTAGAACCAGAGTTGACTGAACGAATGGCCAACAGTCGCAACCCGGACGAACTCCTATACTTCTGGACCGCCTGGAGGAACGCAACTGGTCGAAAAATGCGGAAGTATTATTCGGAATATGTCGAACTGATGAACGAGGCATCATATTTGAACAGTCAGTTCATTTACCAATCTTTCGACCGGCTGACCGAAATCGACCCACTTCTTCCAGATGAAATAAACCAGATTGCTAAAATACTCTGGGAACAAGTGGAGCCTTTGTATAAGCAATTGCACGCTTACGTCCGGTACAAATTGCGAAACATCTACGGAGAAACATTGATACCGGTCCGGGGATGCATTCCGGCTCATCTTTTGGGAAATATGTGGGCGCAGACTTGGACAAATCTATTTAATGAAACCATGCCGTATCCGGAAAATAAATTGCCGGATATAACGGCGGCTATGAGGAAAAAGGGTTATACGCCGAAAAAAATGTTTCGTATAGCCGAACATTTTTTCCTATCATTAAATATGTCCGCAATGCCGACATCATTCTGGAGAAATTCTGTCATTACTCGTCCGAGCGAGGATGTAAACATATCATGTCACCCCTCAGCCTGGGACATGTTTGACGGGAAAGACTTCAGGATAAAAATGTGTACAGAAGTCACGTATGAGAATTTCGTGACGATTTATCACGAAATGGGCCACGTTCAATATTACCTTGAGTATAAGAATCTACCTTTGCCCTACCGCAAAGGTGCAAATCCTGGATTTCATGAAGCCATAGGTGACACCATAGCTCTGTCAGTAATGACAATGTGTTACCTCAAAAAAATTGGTCTAGCGGAAAAAGCCAAACATTTCAAAAACGCTCAACACGACAAAAATCACAAAATCTTTGGTGATTCTGCCCGAAAAATCATCGAAAAAGATCTAAATTTCGAAGAAAAAACTGATGATAATGATGATGAAGATGAAGATTTTAGAAAAAGTTCTGTCAAAGATTTGGGGCCTTGCGATAAAAAGGACATGAACTTTCTCATGAGGATGGCTTTGGAAAAGGTTGCTTTTTTGCCTTTTGGGTATATTGTCGATCTTTGGAGATCGGACGTTTCTGGAGGGATGATCTCTGAACGAGACTATAATGAACATTGGTGGAAACTAAGAGGTAAATATCAAGGAATTTGCCCACCTTTGCAGAGGAGTGAAGAGGACTTTGATCCTGGAGCAAAATACCACATTGCGGCAGGAGTTCCATACTTGAGATATTTTATCAGTACGATAATACAATTTCAGTTTTATAGCGCCCTTTGCCAACGTGCGGGTCAGTATGTAGAAACTGAATACGAGGACGACGAAACGGATGGCAGTCCATTTTTACATCGTTGCAGTATTTATGGATGTCCTGCTGTAGGAGAACAACTTAAAGAAGCTCTATCCCTGGGCAGCTCTCGTCCCTGGCCCGAGGTGATGAAGATTTTGGCGAACGACGATACCATGGACGCCACTGCTCTATTGAAATACTTTGAGCCTCTTCACAAATATTTAGAGCAGGAAAATGAACGAAACAAAGAAGAAATCGGTTGGGATCAATCTGTACCCTGTTCGACAAAACTGTAAATATATATATATATATATATATATATATATAATTTAATTTTGATAATTCTTTGAATTTTTTTAAATTTTTGCTTTTGGTTTTGTAGAATAATGTTATTCCTGTTTGTAACGTTATTAGTTTTGATAAAATTATTGTAATAAAAATTATTGGTTTATTAATAAATAAAAAATGTAAATCGTCCTGTATAATATTGTAATAACTACTGTTTCACAGGCCGACGAAATATACAGAACTGTGCAGGTCCGTCATTTATGACAATATAAAATTGTACTATAATAAAATTTTGGTGTACGTTACTATTGTCGACAGATTTTAAATTGTATATATATATATATATATGTGAATGGTAGTTTACGTTGATTTATAAAAATAATTACCTAGCAACATGTCCGTTTACTTAACCCTTTGAGGACGACCTCCGTATATATGCGATTTACGCAAATCATCAAATTAGCCTATGAACTCATATGACAGACAGTGGTTAGAGGCGAGAGACGCATATATGAATCCCATCTAAATACATGTTGGTGGCCGAAAAACACAATGTTAATGAACCAAACTAAATAGTTTGTGAACAAATAAACATTTTACTTATACTGTGACAAATCTGTGTATAAACATCCAGAATTGAAGTTGTAGTGCTATAAACTAAAGCCGCCGTTAAGTAGAAATATGCTTTAGCAATTTTAAATGACTATTGCGTAGTACGGTACGGATCACTTGAAACCTTCCCGTCCCCAAAGGGTTAAAAATAAATAATAAATTAAGAATAAATTATCAGAGATATTTTTGTCGTTTTTTGTCGTTACTACTTGCTACCGTAGATGTTACAACCAACACCAAATTCGGGGTAAATTGTAACACTGCACTTTTTTATACAATGATTAATTGTGAAATAATGAAAAATAGTTAGAAGATTATTTTTATTGGACTCGATAGATGAATAGTTATAGCAACTACCATTTTAAGACGTTCGGTTTAACACAATGAACTTTATCAAAATGAAAAGTTTGATCAAATTAGCCAAACAATTAATTACTTCAGGTCGATCTTCACCAAAAACTAATCAGCATGATTCCTAACTGATATCTCTCGAACAGTTTTTGAATTATCAAAATTGGTTCAGAATTTTGGCAAAAAGGTGAACGAATAATTTTACACTTTTCTGTTAGCAAAACTGCTTAAGAAAGGGCTTTCGAAACATTTGAAACCAACGCAAATCTGATCGAGTTTCGAAAATACATAAAATTAGCAAATCGAATTTTCTGATAAAAACATGGATTTATGGATATTACGTTTGATTCAACCAAGGACTTGTATTTAATGAATTTACTTAACTTAAAACTCTCAATAAATCTATTTTTAAAATTGGTCTAGCCGCTGTAGGGTATCGAGTATGCATAATATGAAGACCGCCAACTCTCTCAAAAAAGATCTGTTGCTTCTTGAATGTCTTTTAACAAATGTGGTTTTAGTTTTTCGACCAAGTCATCCGTTTCTCGCAAAATCACGAGTATCACTTCGTTTTTGCTTCTTAAAATTTATCACCTCCACTGACGGTTTCAGCGTTTTTGTTTAAATAAAATATTGAAATAAACAATATTATATGAAGTGAATACGAATAAAAGAAAAACGCAAATCTGATCGAGTTTCGAAAATACATAAAATTAGCAAATCGAATTTTCTGATAAAAACATGGATTTATGGATATTACGTTTGATTCAACCAAGGACTTGTATTTAATGAATTTACTTAACTTAAAACTCTCAATAAATCTATTTTTAAAATTGGTCTAGCCGCTGTAGGGTATCGAGTATGCATAATATGAAGACCGCCAACTCTCTTCAAAAGATCTGTTGCTTCTTGAATGTCTTTTAACAAATGTGGTTTTAGTTTTTCGACCAAGTCATCCGTTTCTCGCAAAATCACGATGTATCACTTCGTTTTTGCTTCTTAAAATTTATCACCTCCACTGACGGTTTCAGCGTTTTTGTTTAATAAAATATTGAAATATAAGTAAACCTAAACAATATTATATGAAGTGAATACGAATAAAAGAAAACCATTATTTTGATACTGGCTACGTCGTGTGCTACGACGCATGAAGGCATGGGTAAAGTGAAAAGCCGGGTACAGGAAAATTCTACCAACATATAATATTTAATTAGAATTTTTCTTTATTTGGCATTTCAGGTAAAAGAATCTGAAGAGAGTTGGCGGTTCTCATACAATGCATACAAGATTCCCTATAGCGCCCGCTCTAAATCACATACTACTATTGATTAAGGGTAATAATAATAAAAACAATATATTGTAGTCTGCCTGAAGGCAGGTCTATGGCATGAGAGCATCACAAAATTAATGATTTTTTTCCCCTTCTTTGTTTATTATTACCATCACCGTTTTATTACCAATAATTACTGACCAATAATCAATTTATATTCGTGTTTATGAATTTTTTTCCAAACTTCTGCTTCCATACTTCCTGGTCTTGTTTTTCGCCTTTCAGTTCTCTGTATTTCCTCTTCCAGCGTAAGTCGTCAATCATGTGCATTCTTCTTCGACGACGTCATGTAGGGGCCATTCTTTTTGCATGATGCGTCCGATCCAATTTGTTCTTTTTAAGGATCGTGGTTTTAGAGTCCTTTCTTCGCCCACTTTTCTCAGGACTTCTTTATTTGTTATCTTGTCAGTCCACTTTATTTTCTACATTCGTCTCCAGCACTACATTTCAAAACTCTCCAGATAGTTCTTGTCGGCTTTTCTTAGAATCCATGTCTCTGATCCGTACAGATGATTAAGGGTAAAAACATTATCAATTATCTCTTTCATTGGAAAGATCATATAGCAGCTTCATATATATTAAGCAAAAGTTATCGCTATAAAATTAGTAATCTGAAATAGAGCATAATAAAACAGTAATCCTTGCTCGCGTTAATCACTAATGTTGATTGCCTCTGATTAATACGAGCACCTCTGCATACAATCTATTTCCCATGCGTATGAATTGGTCCACAATTAACCTGGAGTGAAACAAGCAATATTGTAAATTCATAATCATAAATAGTATATTGTAACCGATAGTCTTGCGCCTGTTTCTCGAACGATGCTATGCCAGACTGGCTGGAATCGGCGTACAAGAGGTTTGAAAGTGCAATTAAGAGTGTAAAGTAACAGTTGAGCAATATCCGTTCTAGAAATGGTAATATTGATCCTGTATATGAGTGTTCATAAGTGGAATGACGTCGCAAATGGCATCGGTCACAATATTATAATAACTCGGCTGAGGCAACAGTCAGCCCGAAAGCTGACCCTTTGGCGAAATAACACATACGAGCCGATACGATACCTTATATCCTGGCTGACTGTATACTGTATCTCATTATGAATACAGGTAATTCGAGTGACACGAATTAGAGCGAAATGATATAGAGATAGTTAATTTCTTATGACGTAATACGTTTATATGGCCATGTACCGCGTTTTATTACGTCAATTTAATCCGACGGTAGGAGCACGTCAATCAGAATAATCGTGGAATGAAATTGGTGAAATTAAATTATAATATATTACAACAAAACCAATCTAAGATTGAACAGTTAATTATTTATGCCATATTTAAAGTAGAAATAAAAAACATGCCAAAAATTCCAACCATCGTGGTTTACATACACAATAACTAGCCTAAAATAATACAGCTTTATTAAGTCGACTGGTCGTTTTCGTAGCTAAATGGTAGCAAAACTTTGGTTTCAGGTTCAATACCCACCCCGAATATTAAAAGCAGTCGTAATTTATAATTCGATATTGCTGCATTAAATTCAAAAAAATAAAAAATATACCAAATATAGAAGCTCCATGGCCAAACAAGCACTAACACGTATAGGCAGAATCGCGAATTTAATCCCCCGCTATGGCAACCTGAAATCAAGCAGCAGCGATATCCATTTTCACTTAAAAATATGGATAAAAAAATGTAGCCCATTTTGCGCACTGCTATGGAAATGCAATGCTTCTTTCCCGAATCGAGTACCAGCCACAATAGGGATTCTGAGTGATTTGGTAAGGTAAGTACCTGGCTTAGTTGTCGATATCGAGCAGAAGTGTTATCAATTTTTATTTGAAAATATAGATAAAAATATATTTTGAAGTAAAAGTATCCCTTGCCCAGCATTGCTGCATCAAATTAAAAATCAAGAGTATTAGAGAAATAAAAAAATTTAATAACAAACTTATGTCAAATATAAATAGACCAACCTTTTGGTTGCCTTCTAACAAGATACTTTTGAAGCTTCTAGATTTTCTAAGGAGAGTACATTTGTTTGCAAATTATTGATGAAAACTGCAAAAAGATTCAAAACAAATATGAAAGAAGCGTTGCAAGAATCCGATGCACAGGTTATTTAAGGGTTAAAAAAACAGGGAACAACAGAAATTATAAAATTGTGATTATCATGCATGAAAATTTTTTTAGTGTTTTTTAATTCTTTTCTTACCAGACAATTTTTTTTGTGGACCTTGCGTGTTTATCGCACTTCAAAATGAGTTGAACAAGTACTCAATTTATTCAAAATATGTCATTTGTAAATATTTCCTACCCAAGAAGTGTATATTTTTCCATGTTCAATATTCTACCTACATCTTGAAATTCTACCGGGTATCTTAGACGAACAAGACTGACAGAGCCCCAACGTTGTCTCTTTTGTATGTCTGCTTGTTTATGTGTATTCCACAATAGTAGTTTTTTTTCTGAACCAATAGATACAACGTTCCAAACCTTTGACATTTACAATATAAATCGGCGATCCTGAATCCAAAGGGCGGAAAATTTTCCCCCTTGGAAAGAGTGAATAAAAATAGACCATTGAAACGTCTTACGTATTTAATTATAATGCTGCAATACTCAATTTACCTACAGAACACCATGAATTACAGAAATTAGTAAATATTTTTTGAAATATCGTTCATTTTAAATTAAAATGTTGGTATATTTCATTAA